AAAAAGGAAAAAAAAAAAAAAAAAACTCAGGCTGCGTGCCTGCATGAATGCTCAAAATCTTGAGAGGAGAATGGAGAAGAAGGGGCTGCAGCATGGCCATCACCTAGGAAGCTGATTTCTCGTTTTCTTTCTGTGTGTCTCTGTCTCTCCAGTGAGTGCACACACCCTATAGCAAAAAATCTCTCTTAAAGAAAACTAGGGACCAGTGGACACAATAGTAACATGCTCTGCGAGGCAGTCTTACAGTCCCAGTCCAGCGGCCTCCCTGAGCTCACCCAGGCATGTGTGTCCATGGTCAGAGGCCAACTCAAGGCCTCAGGAGTGTCAGCATCCAAACCCTGTTGGGGTGCTGTCTGTCCCTTTCTCTTGCTTACTCATGGAAGCAATAAACTTTTGAGGTTTTTTAATGGTTAGGAAAGGGATATTTATTTTTTTTTTTTTTTTTTTTTTAAGGGGTTTTTTTTTTTTTTTTTTTTTTTTGCTATAAGTTGTGTGTGCTCATCACAAAGACAAAGACAGAGAGAAAGAAAGTGAGAAATCAACCCCCGGGGGGATGGCCACGCCACAACCCCTTCGCCTCCATTCTCCTCTTGGAATCTTGGGCATGCACACATACTTGCATGCCCAATGTGAATTTAGGCCACTGGTTCTGGGACTTGAACCACGGTTGACTACATGGGAGTCCAGCAACACAGCCATTACACCAACTGCTGGTCCCTCTATGTATACTTTTAGCAAGCCATTAAATTAAGATTTCTGCTCTCTCTGATATCCATAAGTTTTCTGCCACTTTTACCACTTTCTCTAAGTCATTTCCAAACTGTCATCAAAATTATTTGTAAATTATCAGTCATCTTATTGTATAATGTAGGCTTCATAGGAGCTATTCTGCAGTGTCTTAGGTAATAGCCAATATAATTTATTTTGTTTTACTGAAGCTACAGTACTGAATTGTAATCCTTTCTGGGAAATAAAAAAGAAGAACTGTGCTTAGATAGCAAAAACATTTTAATCCTTCATGGGAGGAATATATTTGAGACCATAGGTTTTCACGTTCGGGTCCATCATTCCATCATATATGAGAACCTCAACTGCTCATGGTAATAACGAGGACTTTGGCATCCAGTGTATTTTATAACTGTCCAAAAGATTTCTTTTTAATTTTATTTTTAAAGTAAAAATTACAGATTTTTAAAAAACAGAACTTTCCAGATATTTGTCTGCTAAACGTTCCTTCTCTTTTCTCTTTCAACTCACTTTCATCCACCCACTGCCCTCACTTACAGTCTCTGCTGTCTACATTTAACCTCTCTACCATCATATTTTTGAATCTTTTCTTTTCTGCCATAGAGTGCAGACATTCAGGACACACTGAGTGGGGATATGCAGTGTGTCTCTTTCAAAGTTTAGCTTACTTTGCTTAATATTAAGTCCTCTATATTCGACTACTTTGAATCAAATAATTGGGACGTCATGGCTTCCTATGGCTGAGTAATATTCCATAGTATATTTGTGCCACTATTTTTCAACCCAGTCATCAGTTTTTGGAGACTTAGGTTGATTCCATGTCTTAACAATTGTGAATAATGCAACAATAAACATGAATGTATAATTATCTTTCCATCTGAGTGTTTTCCTGTCCTTTGAGTAAATACCAAGGAATGTGACTACTGGGTTACATGGTAGTTCTATTTGTATTGTTTGAGGAATCAATACATAGTTTTACACAGAGTTTGTACAAATGTACATTTCCAGCAATAATGTAAAAGTGTTCTCTTTTCATCACGGCCTTGCCAGCCCTTGATTTCTTTATTTTCTTGATCCTAGAAATTCTAACGGGTTAAATGGTATCCAATTATTGTTTTAATTTGCAATTTCTTTATGACAAGAGATTTTGAATATTTTTTCATATGTCTTTTAACCATTCTGGAGTCTTCTTTGGAGAGTTTTCTATTCAGTTCTTTTCCCATTAAATATATTTATTTAATCTTATTTATTGTTATTCTTCAATTTAACCAGAGACAGAGAAACAGAGAGAGGGAGAGTGAGAAAGAAAACTGCCTGGTCTGGGACTCTAGCTTCTGTGGGCCATTCCAGAGGCTTTACCACCCCCTGAGCTGCTCACTCTGAATTGCCCATTTTTTTCTTTTTAATTAAATCTATTTTAAATTTCAATTTCTTTTATACATGCATTCACAATTGTCACTTAGCTTACAAGGTGAATATTTCAACACATACACATTTCTCACCAGTCCAATTGAGACTACTATACATATTATCTTCAACAGATAATAACCCATTTCTTTGTCTCATAAATGCCTTACCTCTATTTTTCTCCTTAATGTCTTTCTTCAAACTCTCCTCCTTCACCTAAAGGTGAAGGATTGGATAGGGTGGAGCTGGCCATCCTTGTGTTGGTGGAACTGTTGTGTGTTTTTAACTCACCCATACTAGTAACCTGGAATGATATTGTACTGTGGTTTTCTAGGATGGATCCACTGGGGAAACTGAAGAGTTACTGCTGAGTGAAGCAAGCCAGGCTATGAAGGAGAGACATTGTGTGTCCCCGCTTAATATATACTGAGTGTCTGCACTCTATGACTGAAACTGATTAACCAAAGGTTGTACAAATACAAGAGATGGGTGTGATTGCCAGATGTGGTGTGTATAAGGAAGGACTGTCCCAGCCCATGGGACAGTAGAGAAGGTTCCTTGGGGGAGGGAGTGAGAGATGGGACAAAAAACACGCACACACACTACGAGGTGTTGATCAAGTCGTCTTCTTCTGTCTACTTCCATTTATTGAGGAGAAATGGCCAATTATATACAGCTGGTGGGAACCAATTGGTTGCACGAAATGCAGATGAGATAGAACAGCATGAACCAATCATTGATGTGGGTGGATCTCTCCCGTTGCCTAGAAACCCAACCACTTCCAGGGAGAACAGTTGGTCACATGATTTCTGAGAAACGATTTGCTCAGTGAGGAAGTGAAGCCTAATGGTTTCCAAGATGGCGGATAGCTCGAGATGGCTTCTGTATGCAGTGCTCGCCACATGTCCCCCTTTTTTATTTTTTCAAAGAGAGGAGAAACACCTGGGGGAATCATGCCTGTTTTAGGTTGGAGTCATTTTTAGAGCCCCACGTCCATCCTTACCCGTCATTGGAGAATCCCATTGCAAATGATGGGTTTCCTGTCTTAGATGGAGGGACTATACAGCTGTTAGGCTCAGACTCTCTTACCCGTCTTTGGCTAACTGATTCAGCACCTCAGGCTGGAGCCATGTCTAGGCTCCACGATACTCTATCTCCAGGTTGTGGTAGTGGACTTGGATAGGCTGCACTTTTATGGAGTCACCAATTTGGCATTTAAGGAAAGCCATGAGCTTATTAAAGAGAACAGGCCTCAAAGAGCAAACAGACAGTAAACTCAGAATCAGACCAAGTATGGGGAGGAAAAAGGGGAAGAGTCCATTCCATGCAGACCGTAAGGGACTGTCATGAATGATGCTGGACTTGTTGACATAAAAGCAGCAGCGTTCCTGTAAAGCAAGACAGAGACCCCACCCTGTTCTGTCAGGAGGAGCAGCACCAGGATCAAAACCAGCAGCGGTAGTGTCAAAGAAGCAAACCAGGATAAGGTATTTAAGAAGGATCTTCATTTTGTTGATCTGTGGAAGGAGAGAGAGATATCTCAGGGCTTTCATCATCTCTGGATGGCTTGTTAGCATCAATCTGTTTGATTAATCTTTGTGGTAACCAATGAGCAGCATCCATTTTTTCTTTTTTCTTCTTTTTATTTTTTAGAGGTTTTTGCTATAGGGCGCGTGCGCTCGCCAGACAGACAGAGAGAGACAGAGAGACAGAAAGCAAGAAATCACCCCCCAGGGGGGATGGTCATGCCGCAATCCCTTCTTCATTCTCCTTCCAGGATCTTGGGCATACACGCACACACGCCTGGCGTGAGTTTTAAGCCACCGGGTCCAGGACGTGAACCATGGTCGACTACATGGGAGCCCAGCAACATAGCCATTACACTAACTGCTGGTCCCTCAGCATCCATTTTTTGAGAATAGATGCAGACAGACCCTCTGCACCAAATGAGGACAGGGTCTGGACCATTCCATGTATTGTCCAGAGGGTCTTTCCACAAAACTGAGGCAAATTTTGTTTTGGTAGTTGAATGCCAGAAGCACTTAGCGGCTGAGTCTCCATCTTTATCAAGAGACAGGAAATTTAGGACAAAAAGAGCATGTGCTAGAAGATTTTTTGGCGAGCCCTTAGTCTGTAAGAGCTCTCCCTTTTTTTAGCTTTTGAAGAGTATTTTCCAAGGAAAGATGAGCACAAAAATTTATCTGGAGGAAAATGGTTATCAATATTTCCAGTAAAGGAAGCACATGCAATTGGCCAGAAATCTGTTTGTTGGAATAGCCAATTAACTTGGTCCTTAGTATATGGCTGGATGATTGTATCAGGATCTTTGCCATATGTCCAGGCCGACCACAATTGAAGCAATTGCCTCCATTATTATGGTTAAGAAATTGG